TATTATACACAAATGATTACTGATGGTTGATATTACACAGTAGATATGATCTCGAGGAGCAACGAGGTACCAACCACAAGATTGTTTCCGAATGATTATACATTCTGACTGGCAGAAAAAAATAAATTAAGTATAAAAAACGCGGTTAGTTGATATACGGTAACAAGATACCGAAACGGCTCTGAAAGCTTTTGATGAGTTGTTTCGATGATGATCGGTCGTACTACATAACTTTGGCTTCGGGCGGTAGTACCGCTTTGATGGTATATCGGAAGCTTGAAATTGCTTGATGTGTTCCGCTCGATAGACTTCTATACATTTTATTGTTCAGATATCAAGACCACATCCTTGAGATAAAAATTCATTTTTTTCTTCGGGGGGTTTAAAAACAGCTTCTCTTTTTACGGTCGAATATGTGTCTATGTACTTGTTATGTAGATGCCAAAGGGAGTTTAAATAGGTACCTGTAAATTTGAATTTAGTGCTATTTTTACTACCCACCCCTTTTTTATTATTGATTGACATTAGAACATAAAGAGTCCATGCAGCCAGTCTCAATATGAATAATAATTTCCATAATAAATAATTATAAGTCATATATGTAACGGGTGATTTTTTAAGAGGTATAGGATTTGTTTTTCAAAAAAAACACAAAAAATTTGAAAAAACAATTAAATCTTTATTTGAGCCGATATAACGGTCGATATAATTTAATGTTTAAAGATTATTTCATGTAAATGTTGGCCGCAGCTCCGCTTTAGAAGGCCCATGCGCAAGGTCCAATTTTGGCACACTCTCTCCAACATATCGGCCGGTATCTCACGAATAAATGCTTCAATATTGGCTTCCAGTGCGTCAATCGTTGCTGGTTTATCCCTGTAGACATTAGCCTTAACATGGCCCCACAAGAAATAGTCCAAAGGCGTTAAATCACACGATCTAGGCGGCCAATTGACGGGCCCCAAACGTGAGATAAACTGTTCACCGAACTCGCCTCTCAATAGGGCCATTGTTTCGTGTGCGGTGTGGCATGTGGCACCGTCTTGTTGAAACCACATGTCAGCCAAGTCCAGCTCTTCCATTTTGGGCAAAAAAAAGTTTGTTATCATCGCACGGTAGCGCTCGCCATTCACAGTTACGTTCCGGCCATTGTCGTCTTTGAAGAAGTACGGCCCGATGATGCCACCGGCCCATAATCCACACCAAACAGTAATTTTTTCGGGATGCATTGGTAGCTCTTGCAATGCTTCTGGCTGGTCTTCACTCCAGATGCGGCAATTTTGCTTGTTAACGTACCCATTCAACCAGAAATGAGCTTCGTCGCTGAACACAATTTTTCGTTAAAAATGTGGATCTTCCGCCAACTTTGCCAGCGCCCATTCACCAAATTGGAAACATTGTGGGAGGTCGTGTGGCTTCAATTCTTGCACCAGCTGTATCTTATAAGGTTTTACACCCAAATCCTGTCGCAAAATTTTCCACGTAGTGGAGTAACAGTGGCCCATTGCTGCGAACGGCGGCGAATCGACATTTCACGGTCATCACCAACACTGGCGGATACAGCCGCAATATTTTTTTCAGTCCTCACTCTACGTCTGCTTGTTGGTGGTTTAATGTCCAATAATGTAAACTGGGTTCGAAATTTAGTCACAAGCTTCCGAATAGCTCCCTCAGTAGGCCGACCAAATTGCCCATAAATTGGAAGCAGTGCTCGATGCACTCTCTTAACCGAGCATGAATTTTGATAGTGAAATTCAATAATTTGCAAGCGTTGTTCGTTCGTAAGTCGATTCATGGTTAAATTATAGACCAAACTGAACAAGTTTGACAATGACACAAGACACGATTCACGCGTCATCTGTCAAAAACAGTGTTGCCAAAAAGATACTAGCAAAAAAATCACCCATTATAATTACACTGGTGAACAAAATTAAAATAATTTTTGTGACATGGACAAAACAAGGCGGTTATTATGTAAAACGTACCCAAAAAGCAGGAAATAGCATTCGATTTTTTCTATCACCCACGGTTTTCTTGCAATAAGACATTTAATTTGCTGCTTATACTCGTAAAATATAAGGATATGTGTGTAAGAGTACTAATAAACACTCGAATAAACATTAATCTCAGAATGTTGTTGTCGATGCTTTACGGTGATATGTTGCTCCTGAAGTATCTCTTAACAATGTCTAGCAATAATCAGCAAGCAAATTGACACTCCATTTGCCTTGATACCGTTTTTCCATATCAGAAATGTGTTGGTGGAACCGTTCACTTATCGCACCTAAATTTTCCGGAAAAAAATCGAGATGGGAATCCAAAAAGTGAATTTTTAGAGACATGTTTGTTACATCCCACTCCTTTATAAGCATTAATTAGTTCACTCACAATATCTTTATAATTGTCCGCCCTCACATTACCTAAAAAATTTGCAGTAACCAAGCTCGTAATTCAGTTTCATTTAGAGCACTCTCAAATACATCATCCTTCATGATTTTCCGTATTTGTGGACCCAAAAATATGCCCTCTTTAATTTTTTCCTCACTGTCTCGGAAATGTTTGTTTTAAATGCAGAAACCCTATTCGATTTCAATCTATAGCTTTCACAAAATTTTTCATCAGTCCCTTACTTAATATGCAAAAGTAGCAACACGTTTTTGGGATCAACTAGTGGTTCATGAACAATGTTTTTGAGGCCCGGATCTAATACCTGACGTAGTGGCCACTCCTTCTGTTCATAATGACGATCTCGCGCACCACTGTCTTATTCACAAAGAAAACAACAAACAGTATTTGGTATATCCCAGTTGCATTCCAAGAAGAAGGGCTATTACCTTTAAATCTGCACATATGGCCCATCCATATTCATTATAACGGATATGCTCTAACAGAACTCGCTTTTTTTCATATGATTCCTTCATACGAACTGCGTGCGCTATATTTATAGATGGATATTTATTACCGTTGTGTACCAATACCGCTTTTAAACTAAGCTTAGAGGAAACAATGAACAGGCCCCAATCATTTGGATCATGTTTCTGGCCTAACCCGTCAAACAAATTGTTGACATCGGAGCAATATATCAACTCCCTTTCTTGACGGAAACAGTATGTGAGGTCTTGTTGCCGTTTTGGGTAAAAAGTAATATTAACATCTCCGTGGAGAAGATTCCATCCTGTTAATCTTGACACTAAAAGTTCTGACTGGGATTTAATTCTCGAACTAAGTCATTAACTTCGCCCTGTGTGATCAAATGCGGCTCTGTTGAACATCCTGGCAGGTCAAACGAAGGATCCGAAACTTTTACGCCTTCTGTACCATCACTTTCAGAATTGGTGGATTCGACTTTTTCATCCAAGACCAAGACTCTGGTGGAACTAGAACAGAAAGTTCATCACTATGCTTAACGGGCCGCAAAGCTGATGGTAAATTAAAATACTTAACAGTATGTTTCGATTTTGGTCCAATACCTTTAATATTGGTGAGGTAAAAATAGCAATCAGTAGTATGGTCTCTCGGTTCTTTCCAAACCATTGGTACCGCAAAGGGCATTTTACGATTGTCGTCTCTTAACCAACCTGCTAACAACATTACACAAGTCTTACAACATATATGAGGGGCCCATAGTTTATCTTGGTCGCCAACTTTAATTCCAAAATAAAGTTTTTATGCTTTCAACACAAGATTAGTACGTAAAAGTACGTTTTTGGGACTTAGAAGTTCGTTCTCCGCACACATAACAAAAACTGTTCGCACTATTTACATAATTTCTAGGCATTGTCCATAAAGCTAGTCTCGATCACAATAAACTAAAAACAACACACCGTTTTAACAAAAATTAACAGTACTCGGAACATCTCAGTAGTCTTCAACACAGAAAACGTAACTGACTCGGCTGCTATTAGTCTACTAATAAACGCAATATGCTCTCTAATCTAAACATAGAGCTCGCATATAATAAACAGGAATAGACAGGTTTTAACATTATACATATATACAGGGTGTCCGCAAAGTTGGGGTTTTCCTTTTCCGAAACAACTACCCTTGAAATAACAAAGGTAATGTGTAGTGAAACGAGGGCGACCAAGTAAAAAAAAATAAAGGAAAAAGTACTCACTCTCCAGTTGACGAGAAAGGCTAAGGACGTCTCTGCCCGAAATCATACCGCTCCAACAGAAAATGAAATCAGCTGATGCGCTACCGAGCAGACGCAGGCAAACAAGGAAGGCAAAATGTTGCGTAATGACCAAACATGAGTGTTGCGAAAGTTATTCACCCCATTACGCGTGAACGTAGATTCGTCTGTCACCAATATGCACTTCAAAAAGTCTGGATTATTGTCATGTTGATGCAAGAACCACTCACAAAACCGCACTCTTGCTGGAAAATCGTCAGGTTGAAGGGCTTGTACACGTTGGACGTGAAACGGATACAGCCCCTCTTCACGCAGCGTTTGCCACACTTTAGTTTTTGATACTTGCACTTCTCTAGCCACGTCTCTAGTGCTTGTTGAGAGATTCTCGTCTACGCGATTACCTCTATATGCGTGACCGTAACCGTCGGTTGAAGGTTGCATACTTACCTGACACACTGACCCCGACCCAGTTCTGTCGTCGGGTTGAGCTAGTGTTCTAGTACCACTCGGGGATGTCGCGGCTACAGGACGGTATTCAGATATTTTTGATTTTGCAGAGCCCTTTATCTCGGTTCCCTTAAGACATTGGTGTATATGTTACTAAGAAAAATTGCTTATGTTTTCAAGATCTACACGTCGTGTAAAGGAAAACTCCAACTTTGCGGACACCCTGTATGCGTCATCGCATAAATGCCGAGAAATGCTGCATGCAATATGAGATATTCCGTATTGTAATTCATAAAAGTAGATGTTATCGAATATCTGTGGGTGATAGAAAAATTCTGTTTTTAAATTTGATTTAATGGTCTCAAAATACATAAGATACAGCCAAAAATTGTCATGTCACAGATCGTGTGTTTATCAGGTTTTATACAGGAAAAGACCGGTACTGCTCTTGCCAAGGGGCTTATTATGGCACTTTTCATAGACAAACAAAACGGCCCACGGTAAGGGGTAAATTGTGAAATATTTCTGTCAAAAAGCATTTCCGTAAATTACTCATTAAGTAAATTGAGATGAATCAAAACAAAAATAAAATAGAGCAGTTTAACTACAATAGTCATTTTACCTTTCTCAGGCCTACCGGCGAGGAAGTATTGTAATCGCGGAAAATTTCTATTACGTATTTTAGATATTATGACATCTACATCACGAAAAACAATGTCCGACGATCTGTCTGTCGTTCTATCTGTCCGTCTAAAACTTGGCAAGTACCTCTCGGAATTTGACGAAATTTCCACACGAGATAATTACTATGCCAAGGAGGAAAAAACTCCGCAAACTCCATTTTTTTGGCCGTTATACAGGGTGTTTCAGTTTATTGTTGCATAACTCTAAGATTCGATAGAACTTTTAAAATTAATGCATAAAGTCTATATAAACATGGGTCGAAAAATGCGTGGCTTCCGAAATACAGGGTGTTTAAATTTACTTTCTAAAATAGTTTTTTTTAAATATTTCGAACAATATTTGATGTATAACAGTGAAAATTGGTATGCAAGGGTTTTTTGGTACGACAAAACGAACCATGTACGTAGTTTTACTGTAGCCGCTAGAGGGCGCTCTCTACTGTACCTGTAGTGTATTAAAATGACCGAAAACATTTTCTTAGTGCAATTTTTTGCTTTTTGAATAAAAAAACTGATTCTTCGCACTTTTCAACATAAAAAACCTCTAATGTGAGTTTTCGTTATAGTTAGTCGTTTTTGAGATATTTCGATTTTTAGGGTTCGATGCATTTTTAATTATTTATGGGAAAATAATATTTTTTTTACATTTTCGATTTGGGCATTACAAGTAATTAAGATGATCGTTTAGATTGTGTTTTTAAACACAGCAAGAATTCCTAACTCCAAATAAACACAAAAAAACGGAATATTAATTTGTTTAATTTTCCAATATTATTTTTAACAAATTAAATTAATTATTTACAACTAAAATGCTATTGGATAGTTAGGACAAACATACAAAACCTAAAGCAGTTGCTCGAAATGTAAACCCAATTGTTCAATACACAATTCACATCTACGAATGATCGAACGAGGTATAGCATTATTCAAATAAGGCCTTATTTCATCACATGCATTCCTGATTCTTTCTATTATGGTAACGGGAGTCTGGTACACTTTTTCTTTTAGAACACAAAGAAATCTAATGGATTTTGGTCAGGGGATCGTGGAGGCCAGGCGACTGGTCCTCCACGGCCGATCCATCTTCCTGGATAATTTTCCTCCAGCCAGTTTCTAACTATTCTCGAATAATGAGCTGGACAACCATCAAGCTGGAACCAGGCCAATCTTCTTAAATCTAACATAACATCATTCCACATATTTGCATGTTCAGCCTTTAAAAATTCCAAGAAGGTCGCAGCATTTAACCTTGCAGGCAAAAGGTAGGGTCCAAATAGTCGATTGCTCTCTTACAAATACTGAGCGAGTTGGATGTCGTCTGTTTGGAAATTTTCGTGCATATTCTCTGGCTGCTTCTGCTGCGTTTCCATTTATAAAGCCATACACAAAATGAATATCCGCTAACTCATGATTGGAGAATAAAAATGGCATTTTTATAAAACTTACAAAAAAAAAACAGGTAAAAGAAACTAAATTTCGTGCATTCACAATTGCAAAAAAACGTTTCAGGTTTCAACAGACAACAAAACTAACTGTCAACTAATTGACGTTTAACCTTATTCTGCTTTCAATTTCAAAAATATTTGCAGGCACAGCCTACTTCTAAAAATTATCGAGATACTGACTTTTTAACGTTATTTTATCATAAATAATTAAAAATGCGTCGAACCTTAAAAATCGAAATATCTCAAAAACGGCTAACTATAACGAAAATTCACAAGATGGCTTTTTTATGTTGAAAAGTGCGAAGAATCACTTTTTTTATTCATGGTTCGTTTTGTCATACCAAAAAACCCTTGTATACCACTTTTCACTGTTATACATCAAATATTGTTCGAAATATTAAAAAAAAACTATTTTAGAAAGTAAATTTAAACACCTGTATAGGCTTCCGATCATTTTCTGAAAAAACATTATAGAAGCTTAGAATCCGGGATTGGGAGTTGTAGGGGTGTTAATGTTACTTATTATCATGCAAAACCGTCGATTGATTGCAGATTTTGAGGGCATGGTCCATTTTATTTTCCGAAATTCTTAATTTTATTTAAAAGAAGAACTTGCTACAATATGTTTTATTATGTTTCAGGTGGGTTTGCCTTTGCGCTTGGTGGGTAGCTAGGGTGGGACTCTCCTGGCCAGCCGACAGAATGCGAAGTCTTAGTTCCGTCCTGCACGTTTGCGCATGGGGATTCCCCGCCGCTCAAACAGTTGCGGCGCTAGTACGCAGAGATGTTGATTCAGATGAACTAACAGGTAAGATCTCGAGAAGTCATATGCATTATCAGTTTCACACTTAGTTCTCATACAGGCGTGGGTCCAGGATCAGGTCTCCGGCAAGTAGTGTGGGCTGCTGACTTTCAGGGGTATTATTAAGTCGTTTGCGCGTATTATAAAGTAATTCAGAAGGTAAATAATGAACAGCAGTGTTAGAACAGAATGCAAATTTTTTTTTGAACAAAAATCAATGTTTTTCCTCGTTTTTGTCCTGAGGCCTTGGGGGCAATGGCACCGCTGCCCCCCGCCCCCCCTGGATCTGCACCTGTTCTCATAACAAATTTTGTTTAGAAAGCTTCCATAGTCATTCTTTCGTAAAAATAGGCCTTTTTTGCCTGAAATGAGGATTTCTGGAAGATTCAGAATTCTATCCAAAACTACTCAGTTGTCTGTCATTGGATCCATCACGCATTTCATCACAGCGGGTAGCATCATACCCCGAAAGCTTCAGAATCATTACATAATGATGTCCTGGCTTGAGATCATATCGTTTGAATCTATACCTATATGTTTTAACAATGAAGTTTTTTTTTCTAAATACAGTGCAACCCGCTTATAATGGACCCGGCGGGACTGTGGCAAATAGTCTTAGTATTATAGGCGGATGACCATCTAAGACTTTTTTTAATGACAAAAGCAGCAGAAATAACATATTAGAAGCTTAAAATGTGTTTGTTTGACATGTATTATACTAAGTGACATATAAATCCGAACACCCAGTTTAAATGGTTTTATTTTAATAAAAGTTGGTGAATGTATTTATCTTACTGTAAATAACAAGTGAAAAAATTTTCAGCCTTATCAGTTGGACATTCCGGTTTTTATACTGCTTTTTTTTAATTCACTAACGCTCTAAAAATGAATATTTCAGCCGCAGTAAAGAATCAACGTTGGCGGATTTTGGGTCTTGACATCCTTTACGATCGGTTACGATGCCTAGAGTACGGAGACCTGTACGATTTCGTTAACTTAGTGAGTTTGATAGGGGCCGTATAGTGGGACTTCGGGAAGCTGGACTTTCTTTTCGGGCAATTGCAGTTAGAGTGCAAAGAAGTGTAGACACTGTGGTTAGGTGTTGATTCAAAAAGAAAATATAACTTCACAATAGGCGAGCTCTGTCGCTAACACGGAACAAGTGAAATCTATACATACCACAGTTTTTCTGAAGGAGAAAAAAGACTATGACAATCAAGAAAGCCATAAAGGCGTCCTATAATTGTACGAACGACTGACGATACGGCCCTTAGGTGCTTTCAAAAACATCATTTTATACATGTTATGTGACCTTTGCCGATACTTTTGCTTGTACCATATGATCTAAATATTGCACTTGCTTTTTCCGTTTACAAAATACTACGAGGGTTAGGTGAGGTAGCAAGAGCCGCTTTCCAGTGCTTTTGAACCCGGAGTGCGACGCTCCCGAACTGCTCTAGCAAAAGTGCACGGGAACGCGTCGATAAAAACCTACGTGTTTTTTAATGTTTTGCTTTGACGTGGACAATTTGTATCACACTGCCAAACAATGAAAAGGTAAACCCATTTTGCCTTTATTTTCAGAAGCATTGTGTCGAATTCATATTTTAATGTAGACATTAAAAATTATTTTCAGTCTAGTCACAGATGAAACCAACTACAACCAGCTATGAACCTGCATTCTTGCACTCTCTTGTAATCTTTATTATTCAGCAACATCTCAAATGTACGTTGTGACTTTAGGTCATAACATTATCAGTTTTTTACCATCCTCCATTGTCTGGTATCGGTTTAATGTGGGTTTAATGCAAAAAAAAATGTGAACACATATCCTAACAATCTTGACACATTGTCATTTCAGAGCATAGAACACTGGCCGTTATTGGCAGGTGGTGGGTAACTCCGAGTTACTCCGAGTAACACAAATGAGGCACTGGAAAGCGGCTCTAGTAGCTTTCAAAACGTTTAACTCGATTTAAAATCGTGTTTGATATAAAGCGAATTCCTACATGTTTTGAGATCTTTGCTTATACATTTGCTTGTACCAAACCATCTTAATATCGCAATTACTTTTTCCGTTTACAAAATACTACGAGGGTTAAGCCAGGTAGCTTTCAAAACGTTCAACATGATTTAAAATCGCGTTTGATATAAAGCGAATTCCAATGTAAATACATAAGATAAATCTTTGGCAAACCAGACTCGGGCAGCATGCACTTAATACGCGAGACATCGTTAAGGACATTCCGCTTGGTGGTTCCATGGATGCGGTGGTACCCGTGGTACCAACCTAACCGGCTGTAAATCGATCCGTTATTACGCTACGGACACTTAACACCAGCCAATTTCCACAAAAATATATTTCGAAAGTCGAAAATTAACGGGCTGCCGTTCTCGCTGTTAACTCGACATGTTATTCATTTACTGCCTTACATGGGGATCGCCCAATGTCATTTCCATGCAATTTATAGCTCAGGAAATATGAACGCGACTCTTCACATTTGCTGAAGCTAAATCTGTACTGATACCAATTCTGATACCAAAAATACGTAGTTCTGTCCCATGATAATCTCATGATAAAAATGAAACAAGATAAGATATATTTATATGAAAGATATTATTTATTCGACAACATTTTTAGAATTCATAATCAAACAGTTTTATTCAAAATGTCCCCCCTTGGCCTTCACACACTGCTTCAATCTCGCGGGCCACTCATCTATCACTGCACGCACAGCTTCCAAAGGAATAGCTGCCGCTGATCGGATCAAATCCGCTTTCAGGGACTCGATATTACGGTGGGCTTTGGAGCAGGCCAACTGCTCTAGCAGGTCCCACAACTTGTAGTCTAAAGGATTGAGGTCCGGACTCCCTGAGGGCCAATCTTCCGCAGCAATGAACTCTGGCACATTGCTTTCCAGCCAGCGCTGCGTACTCTTAGCCTTGTGAGCGGGGGCGGAATCCTGCTGGTAGACCCAGTGTTGGTTGGCAAACAATGTACCACTTAAAGGCTTGACGATAGGATCCAGTATGTCGCTCTGATAGTTTGCCGCTTTTGTTTTCACGCCCTGTTTACAGAAATGGAGCTGAGTGACCCCTTCGTAGGACACCCCCCACCAAACCATGACTGACGCAGGGTGGTGGCCTCTCTCAACTCTCGGAATGATCTCCGAAGCTTCCTGTGAACTCCTTGCATACACTTTGTCATTTTGTCGGTTGAATTTTTCTTCTATGGTGAAGATTTTCTCATCCGTGAACAAAATCTTTCGGAATCCCCCAGCTGCGTACCTCTCCAAGAGCTTCTTGGATCTTGTCGCCCTGATGTGTCGCAAGGTGGCCGTAAGTCGCTGGCCCGTACGTCTCCGGTAAGCCCCTAGCCCTAGGTCTTGTTTAATGATGCGCGACATCGTCCGGACAGGAATCTTCATTTCCCTGGATAGGATCTTCTGCTTCCGGAGTGGATTCCTTTGAATCCTGGCTTTTACGGCTTTGATGGCTGCTGGAGTCCTTACTTGACGAGGTCTTCCGCTTCTTGGCCTGTCATCAACAGAGGACGTCTCATTGTACCGCTGAATGGTCCTAGACACAAATTTACGCGATATTTGAAGGCCGCGTAAGAGTTCAAAAATCTGACTAGCACTGTGATTACACTTATGTAAAGCTATCACTGCAATACGGTTCTCTGCCTTGCCCCACTCCATCGTTATGCTTCGAGAGATCAATACAAACTGAGGTATATGTAATTACCCGAAAAGCGCTTAATCAACTGACACCACAATGTAAACAATCGGACAAGTATTAACAGGTCTACACTTGTTTGAAAACGAGGGACAGAACTTATGGCATGACTACGTATAACATATATGTCATACATTGACATTGCCAAACCTTAGTTATTTAAAAAAACAGACCTTGAAATTATCATAAACAGGATGTTTCAATATTCCGTGGAAATAGAAGTACCGCATATTTTTAGACTCAACACAAGTGAGATATTTTAGGACCCAATAGCCAATTTCAATGGAATTTGGAACACATACATGGGGTTGTCCAAAACGGACGCAGGAAAGTAAACGCATATTAAAACAAGAAAGATTGATATTCAAATCAAAAAAAATAGTCCTCTATCATCACGTGATATCGCTCAGAATTGACGGTAACGGCGTCCCCGGCCGCATTTTCGAAAAAGTAAGGTCCGATGATGCCTTTTGACCACAATGCACACCACACAGTCACTTTTTGAGGATGCATCGGCTGCTCCTTGTGGAGAATGCGGAGCAAACTGGTTCTCGAAATGCCCAATTCTTGGGATCGACGCGTTGTTGATTGTTTCGGATCGTCTCTCACACTCTCCTTCACAACAGCAATATTTTCCGGTGTGCGAACGCTCCTTGGCCGGCCAGAGCCTGGCAGATTTGCCACAGAACCTGTTGCCTCGAATTTACGCACCAGACGACCGATGGTTGTTTCGTTTGGGCGGTTGTTGCGACCGAAATGTTCACGAAGCGCGCGAAACGTGTTTTTTATTTTTGCACCATTCTTGTAGTGCTCTTGAATAACTTTAATGCGGTCTTCAATCGAATTCGACTCCATAGCGATCAATAGTAAACATTCAACTAACAAAATGACATGTCGGTGACAGAAAACAAAGATGGCGTCTATGTCAAATTGACGTTTACTTTCCTGCGTCCCTATTGGACAACCCATATTTTGACGTTCTAATATTCCATTTACGAAAAACTCTAAAAGGGTTTTCTCAACTTGCCCGACGACTCTGATTGTTTTTCAGTTCCAAAAATATCTGAAAAAAATGTGTTTTAAAAATAAAATTTTGACGCCTTCTAACGGTCAAACTAGGCACTTTTGCATAGATATAAAACATGTTCCATCGGATTATTGTGAACCTAAAAATACGTGGTACTGTCTACTGTCCACGGAATATTGGGACACCCTGTATATCGATTATAGTCTTTTGTTTTATTATCAGCCAAACATTCTTTCAGAAC